CAGGTAAGCGCAGCTCAACGATCTGTGATATGCGGAGACTGCCCAAAATCGTGCCTGATCCATTCATAAATTGAGCTAGATACACGTAGGCACGTTCCGGATACAAGAGAAGTGGTCGTGTGCAAAGACATGGGAAGATCCTACATTATCTCGAAATGCCGAAGGCGTGAGGTAACAAAGGCTACGTTGCTGTAAAATTAATGTTAATTCAACCTTCCAATCCAAAGTGTAAGCAACTCACCCATCCACAACAAATAAAGACAAGTGGGATAAGCTTCACATCCTTTCCATGTTCACAGATTTCGTATCCTTACATGTATATTAACTCTTTTAACTTAAACTTAGACACGTTCTCTGCCTTACTAATTTATACTAGTATATATCGTCTATAGCGTCACTGACGTACAAATTTACCACTACTCATTCACCAAAATGTTACCATAAATGTAACTCTCAACTGTGAAAGGTATTTAATTAGTATTTATGCTTTCCGCTGCTGCACATGATAAGATAGTCCAACAGTTCTTTGTCAGTAATAAGCACCTTCGACCTCCGTATACCTGACAAGAATGCTTGGCACAAGTTGCCTATAGTACATCCATAATAATAGCACCATTTGCTGTGCCACGTCTTTGGAACACAATGACATATTTATTACAATTACGTGGACTTAACATTAACCCTACTTATTATGGAAACAGTATTAGTAGTGATTACCATAACTAGTGCGATGCCATCAATACGCTATTAGTGTAGTTGAAGTGCCAAAAGTCGTCACAATTGGTATCACATGTCTTGCTTATAGCTGAAGCAATCAGCACACACTTACAAGTACGAAGTAAACAGCAATCCACGTGAGATTTAGACAGCCCCACCCCGACACTTTCTGACCACAATGACTTTTGTATTGTTTTCTTTCTTGTATATTTTTTTACCGTCACTAATTCAGTAATCACTTCAAATGCCGTTCAAGATCTCTCCACTTTGAATGCACGATAGTAGTGAGCAGAATTTCACGAATGCACTTTGAATATCCAGGGTTATATAGTAATACTGCAGAGAATCTGCATCCGATCCATGCCAGCTCTAACCTTCTGAAAATATTTTTGAATTGAGTTTTGAATCCCTTGGTGTATTTATTGTTAATGATCATCCCAAACGGTTTCGGTATTTTCGTTCACATATGTATCTTATATATTTGTGTCCATGGTAGTAGTAAAAGCAGAAAGTATGAGTTGGTTGCAAAGTCAGTAAACATTTGATTGCGTTGTTTTTTAGATGATGTGTAATCGAGGCTTTTGTGCCATGAATATCCTGCGAGTTGATATTTAGCATAAAATGCATAAAATTCAAATAAAATCTTTTTAATGTGTAATGGTATAGAAATAGTAGAAAAAAATAGTAAAAAAAAACGATGGTTGTTATTATTCATAATGCTCAAATTACAGGACCTAAACGGAGGCTAGCTTGTAATTATCTGGAAAAGTTAGCCCTTTTATATAGAAGGGTTATTAGCGATTTATCGCACTTTAAACCATTACGTCTAAGATATCGTAGTAAAGACGAATTGGTGACTGTTGCGTCCATCTCTTTTGATAAAAATGTCGTTAATATTTGGCATCATTAGAATTTGGAATTGTATTATATTATAATATGATATATCATGCTAGTGTACGCTTTCTAAAACTTGTGTGCTGTTCGTCAACACTCCCATATTTGTATACATCTGTTCAGCAGACCATTTTTGTGGCTACTTGGTTTGGGGTCACACTATTAGACAATAATACAGCTAGGTGCATGGCTAGGTGGTCAACTCTTGTGCACCCTTACATGTGTGTTCAATTCTGGATGGATTTATGACTCATGTAAACTGTTGCATAATCATACGATATAGTGATTATATAAGCCTTATCAATTTCTTGTCATCCAAACGACCAGTGGTTTTAATTGATACGCGTACAGCACTTCAGGTGTCTTATTCCCCTCTACTGCACCGCCAACCATTCAAATACCATGGTAGTCACTGGGAGAATATGTTATACATTAATGTTATAATCCCGTTTGATTTTGATTATATACAACGTAAAGTACTAGCTAAATTTCTCATACATCATTCCACTGCAGATATGTATCCTGACAAGCAAGGCATTTTTTGTGGACTGGATACCATAGTCCCGCTTAATCACACCTACACACACACTGAAGCTACAAATGTGCTCGGTTCATCACAATGGGTGGGTTATGAAACAAGTACCCAGTATATACATCCAGAAATCCTGGACTTAAAGATAGTCGAAGCCGTCGTCAACTTTGTCATTATAGGAATACTCATTTAGTTTTTCAGCAGAGACCTCTTCACTATAGTTGGTTTCTCTATCCCAGCTGGGGTGTGACACATCCTTTGACTTATCTTTGCTTTTCCCGTTTCTATTTTCGATGGCGTTTGGATCCTTACATCTACACTCTTCTTTGCAATTTGCAGGAAAAGGCTGCACCTGGAGAAAAACATAACTGAAACTGTTTAATTTAAAGATACAATGAATATGTGGTTGTATGAACGTATGATCATAGCATGTTTGAACTTTAATGTAAGTGCATATTGTTTAATTGCAAGATGACTAGTGTAGAGTTGAGTCAATGAAAATATCATTAATCTGAAAATGAGTATCTCATTTTCATGATTACTGAAAAACGCTAGAATACAATGATGACATGGTGGTAAATAACAAGAATTGTATACTGGAGCTGTTTTTAAGTTAACTTAAGGGGACTATCATTGGACATGAATCATGCAATCTTTGCAAAACTGACCTGTCCTTGGTGCTGAACACTATATAAGACCTTCAAACTTTCGATAGCTTTCGATATCTAAATAGGATCTTATTTCCACAATGAGCACGAAACCAGAGGTAGAGAGGATCTTATTTTCATGATCAGTACAAAACCATTAACATCATTTGGAGAAGGTATTGGGTCCTGGAACTCCAGATTCATTTGTTAAATTTCTGTGATACTAAAGTTATTTCCTAAACATTAAGATTAGTAATTGAACACTGTAAAATCCGGTTATGGTTTTTTTTAGATTAAGCTTACGTCAATCAATAATCTATCCTATTTGGCAAGGTTTGTCACCTTCATGTTTGCATTTGTTGACTCGCAACAGTCTCCTCCATCATAGTTACAGAAAGCTCTGTTGTTCTGCTGGTCACACCATCCGTCATCGATGAATTCCTGCAACAGGTTGTCAATCATCAGATTTGAGGGCTATAAATCATGTATGCTAGAAAACCCTCAGGTAAACTTCAAGTAGAGGATCTACGGGGGTTTTCCAGACCCTCGTCAAGATCAAGCAGCAGGTACAGTACATGCTAGTGTTATCTATAGATAATACCTCTCCCATGCTCAGTAGACCAAATAGTTCCAGAATCAACCCAGTGAAATGAGACATCAACGCAAACCATACAATTATCTAACTTTTACATTACAGCATATATAGACAATTTAGTGTCTATGGGCGAGCACAATATACAATGGCGGCCAAGGGACAGTTTTGCAATAACGGTGCACACCCTGGTTCGTCTGGGACAGAGGTTCTTTTTAGTCCGTAGTAAAAAAGACGAAGGGGTTTTTGAGGGTCCAAGTTTGAGTTCACATTTCTCATGATCTACTGCAAATTGATAACATGGCTCGGAAGTGTAAGAAGTGATTTTTTGCTGAAGATGATGTCGGCCTTGATCCTTACATTCTTCCGCGCCGAACCTGATGCACCTCTGGCGTCGTGGAAGCTGATTAAGAACAGTCGCGACATGGATGATGACAATAATTTTAGTTCAAGTACGATGTTCTTGTGTCTTTCTGTCAACATCACGTCATTTCTACAGGAAGTTTTTGTCCATGGGATTAGCGAAATTCCCAATTCTGTGAATTAATTTTGGCATAAAAATAATGTTTTTTTTCTGTTTTAAAAGTTCTCCAAAATCAAAGAGGTCGAAGAAAGCAAACTCACAAGTTGATCGTGTAGCCGAAGGAGTATACTTCCTTCCCATATACATTTATGTCATTTCCAGTTTATTCCATGGAAGAGTCTCAACAAGGGTTTGAATGGAAATAACCTGGGTTGCACCACCCATAACATTATAAATAGAATACATTTACAGGATAAGATAATCTGCCTTTGTTTATATGATATGTACCTTACTACATTCTTCCACACATCCCACATCCAATGGGTCAGGGTACCAGACAAGCCCTCCCGTACACGTCAACAGTACGTCTTTCACGGTGTTCATCGTCATCTTGGACTTGGCCATCTTCTCGTACTTGTCCGCTAGAGACTTGTACGACCAGTCGTGTGGTGAAACTGGTCCGTGCCGGTCTTCACTGCGCGGAGTCAGGAACATTTTGTCGTTTGCTTTTATGATGATTGGAACATTGCCTCCTACTGTACAGACTGCCTTGCATGTTGCTCCTAATATATTAAAATTCAGATTAAAATCATGTAACAGACAGCTAGAACAAACATGTTGTTGATCACAACGGGTGACTACTGTTGCATCACGCTAAACGTAAAGGCGCTTACCAATGCTAGAGCCTTTGCACTGAAAGGCAACATCACTCCTTGTCTGTATCTTCGGGCAGTCTCCTTTTAGGTTCTTACACATATTGAAGACTCCGTTCCAGCTGCCATCCCGCTGACAGGTTATGGTAGTTCCCATCTAAAGAAAAGAAATCAGACATCTAAATTTGGTTAAGATAGTTACCTTGCTGACGTTTCTGTCAGACACCTTCCTCGGAGATTCTGACTGGAATTCTGCTTCTCGCCGCTATATGTAACCGATGTAGGTGGCACTTTTGTGGCGAGACCATAATCCCAAACGTGGCTGAGTTTGTACCCCCCCCCCTCGTACCGGTTCATCACTGGGATGAAACAATTAAGGGTTGATGACCCGCCCCGAGATGTATACAGTGTCATGAGGCCTGGTCATTTCCTATAACCACCAATTGAACCGCCGAGTGAGCGATAGCTTTCTCTCCGCAAAGATTAAGGACAACTTAAACATGTTGTTGTTAGACAGAGTCATGTTCCACCGGTATGGTCGATCTGACGTCATTCAAACAAAACAGTCGACGCTGATTGGTTCCGGGGTTTATGGGATTAAGGACAATCACCGCTGGGTAGGTTATGGCGTGATAACCTATAGGATACGGGACCTCTAATTGGTCAACGTTATCTGGCTATATGATAATAAAGGGTTAATGCCCCGCCCCGAGGTGTATATGGTGAGATAATCCCTGGTCAGTTGTGTTAACCACTAAATAAAGTGAGCGGAGCAAACGAGGTGGTTTATGAGGTGGTTATCGCACCTGACCAGGGATTGTATCCCCATATACACCAAGGATAACTAATTAAGGCGGGGCATTAACGTTATTGTCATATAGCCTATCTAATTGACACAGTTACATGTATTTGACAAAATTCCTTTATAAAATCCCTCCATCACCAAAAAAAAAACCCCTCACATTCTATGTTATGTGAAACAAGATGGCATGGACAGAAAAACAGATGATCTAGGCAATCGTCTGTGGTGACCATGTGATATTGGAACAGTGCAACTTTTAGTGGGGATGTAAAAAAATTATCTTTAGTCTTTTTCTTTTTAAACTTTATTCATTCTTTTTAATTGTGTTGTATTTTGAAAGAAGATATTCGAAATATGAAATACAATACGTCTTAATAGATAAATACTAGAAGTCTTAGCACTACTGTTAGTGCCCTGTCCCCTGTATAATGGTACGGTCCAAAAAGTGTTCGGTTATTCTAATAACCTTTTGAGGTTACGGCCTGATAACCAAATGGAGGCTTCTGATTGGTCGACGCCTTCTGGCTATAATATGATTATCATTATGAAACGATGGATGTACGTTATTCAACTTTCAGCATTTGTGATACATACATTCAGACCCTCGTGCATATTACCAATATACTTGGGGCATTTTATGCATCTTATGAGTTAAAGAGAAAATGGAAGGTTGGAACAATATTTAGTTAGCCTAAATTCCGTGAAGATAGATCTTTCGAGAACAGATAGAAAAAAAAACTAATATGTCTACCTTGTCATTTTCTCCACACCTCAAATTGCACTTGCTCTGGTAGTCGAAACCTCTGGTGCAGTTGTATAGACCTTTGAACTTGGGTGGAGGCGGCTTGCACTTGACACGCTCACACGTCGGTCCCTGCCACAGGCCCTCCTCTGAGCAGCTTCGACGAAACACTCGTCTGTCATAGGGAGGCATACTGTTGCCAAGGATGTGCCAAGGTGAAGAGCAAGTTACTGCAAGTTAGCCATGCAAGGCGACAGATAAAGGATGACCAGCGAAGGTGAAGTTTTTGCAGTCTTCAGAAAAGCCAATGCAACTACAGTCGTTTGTAGTTGAACACAAAGTTTTTGACTTTCACGCAGACCACAAAACTTTCTTGTGTTCGTCATAAAGAACAAAGGAAAAATGTTAGCAGCAAAGAGAAGTAATTCACAACCCCAGTCCCACGACCCATACCGTTGGCAAATATTACCTTCAAGGATGACGTATACAAAAGGTTTGTTATTGATTATGCATTGCAGATGAATTGATTATGCTTATGTAAGGTGATGATCTTGACAAAGAAGGCTGCTGTAGCATATTCTCATCTATCATTCAATTAGGTCTTGATTTGCATGACTGATGTCGAATGATATTCATCTTTACTTAACGTATGAATGCCGGAAGTATATTATTTCATTTACCACAATGGCCTTATAGTATTGTCGCATAAATTATACAAATGATGTCTTCGTTTGCATCTATCAATGTTTCTCTTTTTATTATAACGCAGCCAATTTAAAGGATTTCCTTTGTGCAAATTCGAATTAGCACCTGATTTGAACAATTTGCATATGATGATGTCAATCATCACTTAAGCTACCTACATACCATAGCATGTCCATAACACTAGATATTAAAACCTGAAGTTCTGTTTCAGTACCAAGAAAAACCAGAAGGGAGTCTAAAATTTAAACAATTCTTCAATAGGTCAACACCTGCACACCTCACAAATTTCATAATAGTCCAGCCTCTTGAGTTATCGTGCTTAATCACATCCAAGCAATAACATAAACTTCTAGACGAAGGTAATAAAAGCAGGTAACTGATCAAATGCACAGCAGAGAAGTATATAATCATAAGAATAAATATTAGTATATAATCATAAGAATAAACATGTTATACAACAAAGGTACATCTAAACATCGTCATCAACATCAGGTAATTATAAGCATCAATGTTGCAGAGATTCACAGATTTAAAAACGTTAGTGCGAATTTGATGTAAAAGAAAGAATAAGATAGCTGCTTATCATAATAACCACAACACGGTGAATTGTTGTACTATTTTGTAATAAATGTACAATATCTAATGTTACAGTTGAATTATTGTCTTCGCCATGAATGACAAATTCTAAAGTGTTGAAATATGTTTAACCAATGCTCTTTTATTCAGCCAAAATGTTGTCAACTTTTGTGAAAGTATTCATGATTATTGATCTTTTATGATGGCAATCACATCCACAAATAGATGGCAAAGCCCACCTTCATTATCAACCACAAAGTATAATTTTGATATTAAAGAAGTTCTGGGTACCTGTGGGAAGAAGTACCGACCACGTGATACCCTCGCTTGCAGCGGAACTTGCAGGAGGTACCGACGTGGTGGTTGGTGGTGTCCAGGCACCGCTGAGTGGCCAGATTAGCATTCTCTTGCTTCGGTGGTGGACCACAGATCAGCTGGCAAAACGCCTGAGGCAGTGACCATAGCCCATCTTCTTCACACCTTATGATGTTTTCATCACCTGCAGGGATGGGGGTGGAGGAAAACATATGCTGATCATAACAACGTACATATCAGCATCTATTGGGCGACACTCCACCGTATGGGTGGGGAAGTCGTGTTGAAAGTGCCTTTCCCAAGGGCACAACGTCGGGTCACGGTGAGTATCGAACCCGGGACCTCTCGGTTCCGGGTCTAACGCTTCTAGCAGTGGTCAACATGCCAAAAATGGGCAAAGATGTCTGTTGCTATGCCGGAAGGTGGATGGAAGATAACTATGAAGAGAGGAGACAAGAAAAGACTCTGATTTAATGTCTTCTTCTTACTTTGATGCAGCGATATGTGATGGTGGCTGTGTACATGTATAAGCGATGTTCCTACCGAATCAAAACCATTTATACAATGATTGAGTCAAAATCTTAAATTGTAGGGACCTTGTTTTTTTCGGCCCGCCTTGTTTTCTTCGCCCGCTCGCATTAGATTTGGAATATGCGGAGGATGTCAATTATAAAATTTACTTGCTGTGGCCTTATACGAATACACATGAGAAATAAGCTGTCAACCATCAACTTGAGTTTTTGACCATGAAAACACACATTGACATGGTAGTCCACCCCGAAATTGTCCATTCAGTCCAAAATTCCATAATTTTATACGGCAGAATTGTGTGTGTAAGACCAAAACAGAATACATTGTACATCCAAACAGAGCAAGTTCTAGAGTTCTACCGGGCAGCTAAGTCAAGCCTAAAAGACAACAAAAGAGTTAACAAAAGAAAACCCCTCCCAGCTGGCAAATGCCAACATTCATAAACATATACAAAGAAAAAGACTGTTTACTGTTGATTTGCGAGCTATCACCAAAAAGAAGTATTGTCCTTTGCCCATCACACACTACGACACAATTACTAGTATACTGCATCATTTAGTATTTACCGTAAGAACACAAAATTGCCACACTGTTTACTAGACATGACCTTACCTTGGAGTTTGGCAGGAGATTTACACTTAAATGTACACTTTTTTCCAAAGGAATGGCCCTCCTTGCAGACAATTGATGCATGTGGGATGTTAGGTTCTCCACAGTCCATAGGTTTGCAGGACAGGTCCTCCGTATTCCATCGGCCATTGATACACATCACATGGCGAGGTCCAATGGGCAAGTACCCCCTGTTACATTGCACTGAGCAACTGCGGGGGACGAAACAAGGCAACTTTGAAATAGGGTCTAGTATCTAGTGCAAGTGTTCGAAGAAATGGAAAAGTACTATCATAGAGACAATTTTAGATTATAGATTGAACGATTTATTCATCTATTCCATAAATGATGTAAGTGAAAACCCTTATTTTTGTACATGTACATCTATACCCACTGGGATAAGTACACGTAACAACAAAATAATAGTAAACAGATAGATGTATACATCATCAGGTGCTATAGTTTTGTAAGTGAATTCGACTTCTCGCCTTAGTACACATTTACTCTCCATACAGACTGTAACAGACTGTGATATGAGTCGTCACAATGCAAACCCCGCAACAGAATAGCACGTTAGTACAATGTTGTAGCATAGCAATAATTTCCGAATCGATATGAGCATGTTGGTCCTCTAACCCCCCCCCCCCACACACACACACACATGTACTGTTCCCGTGTCGCAGCTAGCTTTCAGCGTGTCGTAAAATATTCACAAAAACGCATCTAATCTTATGTCTTAGTAGCTATAAAGTTCCAGCTGAGCATATTACAAATGTCAAGAAGCACCACATCTGATACCTATCGCCATCCTGCATTCCAGAACAGTTGACGAGGGAGTCTCTCTTCAACGCCCTTGAGTTAACAGAGGCATACTTGACTATGAGTGGAGGGCACGTTGTTTTTTTGCACGTCGTCGCAGGGTGACATTGTCGGCTGGCTGGGTTGTACATCTCTCCATGTTGGCATCTGAAAGTATTTTACATTTGGTGTTTACACAGATCAAAACATGGAGAGAAGATTGCAGGAAGATGTGGGGCAATTGCTGCCGATGTAGGGTCATGTAAGGCTTGAGGATTAACTGCAGAATCTGCAATATCACGCTTACCACGTTAACGCCAGGACATGCCCAATTAGTATACAAAATCATGCCCGTAGCCAGGATTTTGAATGGGTGTCTCCACTGCTTGAGGCGGGACCTCGAGTGCCGTAGGCGCGAGGTCCCTAGGGGGTCCGGGGGCATGCTCCCCGCAAAATTTTGAAAAATGAACCTTCTAAAATGGCATTTCGTGCATTTTTTTAGAGGATTCCAAGAAAAAATCAGAGATAAATTTCTAATGACAAAGGGAGCAGTTTTTCTATGATTCCAGTCCATCTTTTTTTTTGGTAGGTAAAGGAGAACGTCTCCAACTCATGGCTTGTAGGACTGCAAGTTCCATTGTTGTTCCCACGGCATTGGATTTGGAGGCATATTGTGAGGGTTAGCTCCTCACCCAATCAACTGGATTTTTTTGTTTTGTTTTTCTTGGCAGGAGTGAATATTTGTCAGGTATGGTGGGAACTTCTTGCGGCAAATTGTAGTTTAGAATCCGGGGCGTTTTGGCACTGATCTCTGAATCTAATTAGACACACATTCACAGCGTAAATATCTAACCATCATTTACAGTGTGCGACATAAATCAACCTTTCTTATAAACCAGATTACCTACCGTGAAATAGCAACTGGATCCAGAGTATCGGAGGAGCGAAGGGCAATGGCGGAGATGGCGATGTATTTGGACATGAACTTGATCTTTGCCGCCTTGGTGTGGTAGAATGGTGCAGTAAGGTCGTGTACTACGGAGACCTCGACTGGGTTCTGTTTACAGGACAGCGGTACCTGGGCATCACAACAGGAACACATCAGTGATGATGGGAATTGGTTAACATCTTACATGAATACATACATACATACATACATACATGTATGGAAATGATAGTTTTGATTGTATTAATATTTTGAATCGGCTCAAAGGGAACACAAGTATCAATTCACTGATCAGTTTGTAGCTGAAAATTTCAGATATCACATTAACAGCAACGTCAACAGTAATGCTACAAGAAAAAGATGGGCGAGGTCAGGATAGGAAGGATATCTTCTTCCTCGGAGGTAGTAGGTAATAATCAAATAACGAAATTGATGGCAAATATTGACAGAGTTAAACAGGCCTTGTCACCATCATTTAAGTGCGAATGTCTGTAAGGATCAAACAATGGTGGCAGGGGTCAAAAAATCGATTTGGCTCAAACTTTGCACAGTGATAGTACTTGGCCCACAACCCCTCAAAATAGCTTTCTTTCCGGTCAACACCGATCGTTGCCATGGTAACGGGCCAAACAAGTTTCGGGGCCATTTTCCCTGATTTAGACATGTGAAAAACATGAAATTTGGCATAGTTTAAGGCACGATTACGAGCAAGTGCTTTAATATTATGGAA